GACTTGCCTTGGGACTTCCTAGAAATTTTATGTTTCCCCAATCTACAAGAAACCATAAGATGCTGAGTAAAGTTTTCTTTACTGGTGTCTTCCTATTTCCATCTATTCCTCCTCCCTCACTACTGTCAAGGATGAGAGCGACCATTGGTGTCCTCTTGTCACTTTTGGACACTTTAATTTTTTGTCTTTTATTACATTTACTTTTTGTTTTCTCGGGGGGGGAGGGTGTAAGGGCAGAGGGACATTATGGAGACACAGGGAGATGAGTAGAATTGGGGTACGTGATAAAAAATTTACAAAGAATCAATAAAAAGGGTTTTTTTTTAAGTGCCAAGTAGAACTCTTGGGGCTGGATAATGGAAATAGTACATATGTTCTTTAAGTAGTTTTGTGAGTGCATATAATTGTCAGATGCCTCCATCTTAATTAGTCATAGGGGCTTTTGTTTTGTTTTATTTTACATTTGTGAAGATACAGTAGTTTGGTCTTTTTAAAAATAAGTTATAGTGTGATAAGACAAATTGGTGTTAAGCTAGTTGGGAAAATAAAATTAGCTTAGGACCTTCACTTCACACCTTCAGTCAAAGTACATTTTCAGTTGGCATAGGCTTTGGTGTGAAAAACTCAGAGCTAAAATAGAGAATTTTAAGTTGCCCGTGTGAGACCAGCTTATGTGGGTCACTGACATACTATGTTGCCAAAATGTGTTGGGGCAGCAGCACAGCCCAACAGCACAGTCCAGACCACTCCAGAGAGTGCAGGACTCACCTGAATCGGCACTGTTTGGCAGTTTACATCAGTGACATGTAAATGCTTAGAGTCCTCTCTGAGGAAATGCCATGAAAATAAATAGAAATATATTTAGGAGCAAGAGGAAAATGTGCAAAAAGATCTTCAAAATTGAACACAGCCCAAAAACTCCAGGACAAACGTTTAAGTACATCATTAGATAAAAATCAAAAGCAGAAATAATAAGAAAATACACTTGAAAACAAAAGTGGTTACTAAAATATATATACACAGAGAGAGAGAGAGATTTGGTACATATATCACTTTCCATAAATTTGGGAAAGATATAAACCAAACATAAATTTGAAGAGATCTATAGCACGGAAAGACAGACACTAAATCACTAAGCAAAGGCTTGGGTTGTAATTTTGTGGGGGAGCATGTATTTGACATTCACAGAGTCATAGGCTTGATTCCAGTACCAATATAAATATATTTTTATAGTATGTGGATTATATATGTGGAGCAAGAAAGAGAAATCAAAGGCACCAATGTAGGCAGTTTTTCTGAGAAACTTTAAAAAAAAAATAAATTCCAGCAAATCAGAAGAAATGTAACTTTTTCCTAACTCAGTCTATGAGGCTGGACTTAGAACAAGAAAGCTGCGTTTGTGAATATAGATGTTAGGACCCTCCACAAAATAATAGAGTGGATCTAGAAACATACAGTCATGCATTGTAGCCAAGAGGACTTTATCCAAGAAATGCATGGTTGGCTCTACAGAGGAAAACCAGTTAGAAATCATCCTGATACCGTATTATTAGCTGGGTAGCCAGCCTTCTGAAATCTTTTTATGTTTGACTTTCTTCTCTTATTATTTTTAGTGAATCAAATTGTTTAAAATAATCATGTATTTTTTTTTACTGTACATTGTATTTAAATAATAAAGGTACTGCAACTAATCTGTACCTACCCACATAACAGACCATTGATTTCTTACATTAGTATTTGATTTTCTTTATAGGTAAACAGTGTTGACCTCAGAGCTGCGAGTCATGAACAAGCAGCAGCAGCATTAAAAAATGCAGGCCAGGCTGTCACTATCGTTGCACAATATCGACCTGAAGGTAATACAGTCCTTGTTACCAATAACTATTGTACATTTTAGTTATTTCCATTATTTTAAATTTAAGTTCTTCCTCTTGGCAATGTTTACGTTTTTTAACTTTTTTTTCCCTTTTTTGAGACAGGCTTTTATGTAGCCTTGGCTGTTATTGAACTCAGTGTAATTAAGGATAACCTTGAACTGCTCCTCCTGCCTTCCTACCTCCCAGATACTAGAATTATGGCTGAATGTCACCATGCCTGTTTTTATACTATGCTGAGGATCAAGACACAGGCTTTATTCATTTAGGCAAGCACCTGCCATTTGAGCTACATTCCCAGCCCTTAATAATGTTTCATTTATAACCTTAACTCTTTTATGTTTGTTTTAATTTGCTAATCCAGTATTTGTCCAGTCTAAACCAACTTAGTTTCCAGGCCAGAGGTATTTTTTCATTAAGATTGAGGACACTTCCTCTGCCAACTGCTTTGTGATTGAACCATTATTTGGATTAATTTTCAAGTTTCTTTTTAATTTGACTTCCAACTTAACATATTTTAACATTGTTTTTACTAATTCATTGATTTGAAAGATTAATAAAGACCGTAAGTAAAAATAGTAATGCTGCCAAAGAAAATAAAGTTACTCAGTTTTTTCTTTTGAGTTACATTATAATTATTAGCCAAGTTTATGATATATTTCTAGTATTTAAAATAGAATAATGGAGTTTATGGTACACTTTGTTTCTAGATAATAAAGCATCATGAAGTAATTTGACTAGATTCCTAAGGGAAGAAAGTAATAATGGAAAATTTGAGGTAATACTATAGTAAACATGTGTAAAACTCTAGTAGGCATCAACGTTAGCGGTTAACTAGTAAAACCTCAGGGAATTGACCAGTTTGAACACCCAGAAGAATACACAGTAGCGTGCTTGTTGATGTTCATAAACAACATGATGAGGAAGGAAAAAATGATGTGGCTGAAGAAACTACATTAAATAATTTATAATTTAGGCATTAAATAGTCTATAATTTAGCATCTAGAAGAATTATAATTACCAGATGTTATTATATTTACTTTTATTTTCCTAGTCCAGCAAAATTGAACTCAAGGGTAATATATAGTTTTAAAGTTAGCTAACCTGAGCATTCATATGAAGGTGTTAATAAACAGCAGAAAGTAGCGGCAAAACTCATCAACAGATAACATATGATGTGAAGTTTAAACTCAGCTTCCATAGCAGTTTATGCATTCGCTTTGAAAGAAAACTACAGAGTTGAAGAACCATGGTAGAGATTAATAAAGCTAAAAAAAAACAGACATTGCATAAATTCAGTGAGGAAAACAGTATAAAAGTAAACAAAATAAAACAAAGATAGAGAAAAGCTGAAAATATTCAATGGCAATGTTTTCAAAAGAAAATAAATGTGTCTATGTAACATTCATAGTTGGCAGTTTGTACTTGTTCGTTTATGTATTGTGTGTGTGACAATAGTAATTAAAGGAAACCGTTGGTTAGAGAGTGAAAGGAGGATGTTAGAGGGAGGAAAGGAAGGCAGAAGTAATGTATTTATATTTTGATTTAATTTTTTATTTAAAAATCCTTTAGAAAGTAAATGTTTGAAATTTCAATTTAATACATTCATACGAACTTTCTGCTAACAGGAAGGATTGTTACAGTGGAACAGAACACATAAAGTCTTGATTTTTTTTTTTAATGCCCATTGACTTTTACCTAAGTCTAGCACATACCCCATATTGAATAGATGCACTTGCCGCTCATAGTGTTTCTCCATAGAGAAACCTGAAAATTGAGCTCAGAATAGGCACGTTTTGGAGCCAAGAGTGTAAGAAGTGCTATCGTTGTCCATTGAGCATAACCCACCAGAAGGACTTCCTGTCAGGTTACATCCTGGTGTGAGTAGTCAGCACAGCCAGGAAAATAGTGGCTCCTGAAGGAGCAGATGCTTGGTTATGTACAGAAACTTAATAAAGTGAGTACACATGGTTAGCCAGTATTTATTACCCATGATTTTTACGAGTTACACAGAAAGGAAAGAGCTAAATATTAACTCTGTAGTGTTAGGTTAGAATTCAAAAATTTGGTATGAGCTCAATTTTCAGGTTATGTAAATATAAATAACAAATATAGCCATAAACATCTTTATATGCATATACAAATATCCATATTCATTATACATAATACCACTGAGGGTCCTGGCCCAATCACATCCTAGTAGCAATGAGCATGCATAGTCTCTAGGTTTTGCCTTCTAATGAGGAATACCTCATTAAAAACTGAGGCTGTTTGGACAGATGGCCAGCTCCCAGACTCAGGCAGGGAAGATGCTGTCTTATTTTGTGATATCTTGTGCCAAAAAGTAAAAGACTCAAGCAATGATGAGTCCCAAATTCCAAATCCAACTTGGAACAAGACACACTGGCCAAATTAACAGTTTCTGCTTCAAATTAGTGATATGATACTAAGTGTAAACTACTAAGTTAGGATATCGTGAGTCTTTACTACTGTTAGTTGCTTGATAGGCTAGTAAGATTGCTGAGCAAGTAAAGGCACTGTGACCAAGCCTGATGACCTGAGTTCAGTCCCAAATCCACACAATAGAGAATCAATTTCCACAAGATGTCAAATGATCCCTACACGGGATCCATGAAATATGTATACCTTCCCCCAACACACCAAATAAATAGGTTTTTTTTCTTTAATTTAAAATGTAAGAGATGTATTCAGTTTGAAGAATTCACTTGGAAGGGGAAGTGACCATCAGGTGGCCCTCCCTCATCAAGTGGTCAAAGACAGTAAAATCAGCAAATGTAGTAACAAGATAGATGAAATCTAGGTAGATTATACAGGGACATCGGAGGTCCTCATCTGTGACTTTACTGCCAGAGCTGCCCAGCCTCAGCCTGTGTGGATGTAGCAGAGGCTACTTTTCAGGGTCAGAAAAAGACTGCAGTAATGTTCTGACTGAGCAGAGGCTTTGACCAGGTTCACAGTGCCAGGGAATTGAGTTGTTTGCGGCTCTCTGCAGATCCCAGCACTGCTTTGTAAGTGCTCGTGTAACATCAGCTGTTCATTTCAAGAGTGTGTCTTCTGGTGTGCCCTTGTGAAGACATTATTCTGATTCATAAGATTATGAATTTTCCAACGTGGATACCCCGGGAGGTCACTCTCCCCAGGCTCTGTCCTAGTGGCATAGGGGAGCATAGGGCCCTGCCCCGTGATGTACACTCCCGTTCGACGACGAAGCTGGGCCTCGAGTCTGCGCCTGCATATTCCTAAGGCTTCTCAGAGTCCTCTGGACCGTGACTGAGGAGACAAACCATGCAGGAAACAGTCTTAAACCAGGAAATAGGGGAATGAGACTGCGTGATTGGGAAACTGGATTAGAATTTATTTATGAAATAAAAATGCCCTGTTTTTCAAAAAAAAAAAGATTATGAATTACACTATGGTTTAAAATAGCTTCAAAAAAATTTGAAATTTTTTAATTTTATGAATGTTACTTCTGATTACCTTTCTTATTTTGGTGATCATTTAAAAGTTATAAACTAGTTAAATTTAGTTCTACTATCTGGTTCGGGTATATTTTTCTATAATTACTAACTGCACAAGCTCTGTATTTGAGAGTTTTTCTCTCATGGAAAATTGCAGCAATCAAAGTATCTAACATTAATTATTGTAGATTTCTATTTTTAATTGAAAACTGAAATATTCAAGTCCTGCTTTTTAAATTTTACATCTGAATTAAAAGATAATGAAAACTGCTAGTGTTATTTAATTCGTGGAGTTTTCTTTTAGTGGATCAAATATGATTTGAACAAAAACATCCTCCACTAGCCAGTTCTAATTTCTGGTAGAGTTAGACCCTTGCTTCTGTTTTAAATTTGTAGACATACTTTATACTTACATATGACCTATATCAAAAGAACAAATAATCTAATAAAAAAAATGGGGTACATATCTAAACAGAGGAATCTAAAATGGCTGAAAGATACTTAAGGAAATGTTCAACATCCTTAGCCATCAGAGAAATGGAAATCAAAACAACTCTGAGATTCCATATTATACCTGTAAGAATGGCCAAAATCAAAAACATTTACAGCTTAGGCTAGAGAGGATGTGGGGTAAAGGAAACACTCCTCCATTGCTGGTGGGAGTGCAAACTGGTACAGTCATTTTGGATATCGGTGTGGTGATTTCTCAGAAAATGAGGAAACAGCCTACCTCAGGACCCAGCAATACCACTTTTGGGTGTATACCCAAACGATGCTCACTTGTACCACAAGGACATGTGCTCAACTATGTTCATAGCAGCATTGCCAGAACCTGGAAACAACCTAAATGCCCCTCTATTGAAGAATGGAGGTACATTTACACAGTGGAGTACTACAAAACAGAAAAAAAAAAATGACATTTTAAAATCAGAAGGCAAATGGATGATCTAGAAAACATATTGAGTGAGGTAACCCAGACCCAGAAAGACAAATATCATATCAATGTACTTAGACCTAAGGCAAAGATTCATAATCCCAGAGAACCTACACAACAAAGAGGACCCTAAGAGAGAGACATACATGAATCTCATCCATATGGGAAGCTCTCCTGAGTAAATTGGGATCATGGGGACCATGGGAAAGGGTGAAAGGGAGGGGAATGAAGAAAAATATATAGCTCAATAAAAATTTTTTTAAAAAAAAGTTAATGACCTAACTAATTTTAGAGTTTTTAGGTCATTAGGTCAGTTTTAAAGGCACTTTATATAGTTTACATTTTACCTTTAAGAAACTTGTTCTTAGTTTATTTCTTTTTTTCCCATCAGAGTACAGTCGTTTTGAAGCTAAAATCCATGACTTACGGGAACAACTGATGAGCAGTAGCATTAGTTCAGGGTCGGGTTCTCTCCGAACTAGCCAGAAGCGATCTCTCTACGTCAGGTGAGGTTTACTTGCAATTGTGATGTCACTTAATCATTTATGTATGCAGACTTCTAGTTGTTCTTTTTTTACTGTGACTGACTTGAATTTACTATAGAAAAATTCAATACAAATCAGTAAAAACATTTCCATGAGTGACTTTCAGACTTGTCTTTCAAGAGTTAGGATATTATAATTTTAATATTTAGAGTATGTGACCCTTTGAATTAATAATGGTATAAAGAAAGGCAAAATAAATGTGGGCTAAAAAATTTAGGTTGATGTTTTAGAATTGATTGCATAAGTTTGTTTGGGTTAATTTGTCTACATGTACTCCTGCACATACAATAACAAAATGAACAGTAATGCTGTGAAAGACTACATAAAACTCTAAAACTAGTTAGGCCATTAACATAGATGTTGTAGAAAGGAAACGTAGAGAACAACTGCATTCCACTGTGTCCGAAACTGACTTCTTTCCAAAGAGCAATTAACTCTACGCCAAAAATTACCCTCCCCGCCCCCAGAAAAAAAGGTGTTGGGTAGCATGGAAAGATTTTACCTTAATTTTCAGTTTTCAGCTTAGGACAAAAGAATTCATGTTTGGGGGGCTGGAGAGATGGCTCAGCTGTTAAAGGCATTGCCTGCTCTTCCAAATGTCCTGAGTTCAATTCCCAGCAACCACATGGTGGCTCACAACCATCTGTAATGAGATCTGGTGCCCTCTTCTGGCCTGCAGGCATACACACAGGCAGAACATTGTATACTAAATAATTAATTAATTAATTAATTAATTAAAAGAATTCATGTTTGGATTTCAGTCTGTTTACCACAGTTCTCCTTGGTTCCCTTTGCCATATGCTGGAAATGCTGGGGAAATAGTGCACTGTTTCCCTGGTGCTGAGAGTCAGGCTCATGTCCTTATTCATCCCAGGCAAGTGCACTGCAGCCCAGCTTTTCCCTCTACTTTTAAGAGAACTTATTTGGACTTGAATTAATTTATTTACATATTGTGTGTTAATTAATTAAATAGTAGTTAAAATTTTTCTTTTTAACAAATTTTGAAATACTTAACATTGTGCAGATTAAATTAATAAAGTATCTTTTAAAAATTTTGGCACCTTATAAAGTTAACTGTACTTAATTTTTATTGATAATGACTTTTGAACTGCTAATTCTACTTTTGCAAAGAAGTGAAAGAAGTAGTTAACTGGTAAAATAATCACTCTTGGTATAGTTTTATATACGTGTATACCTATGTTAATCTATGGATAGGAGTTTGGACGGTTTTCTTCTAAATGTCTAATCAAAATAGACAATAGATAATGTTTACATTTTCTTTTTCTAGATTAACTATGTTTCTTTTCATTTAAGAATCCAATTTAGTTTACTATTGGATTATAGTGAAAGAAATTTTGGGTGCTGAATTCGATTTTTTTTTTTTTTATAGTGAGATGGTGTGTCAGTATATTGCCAAGGCTCTCCCCGAAGTCCTCAACTTAAGCAATCCTCTTGCCTCGATTTCATGGGCTAGCTGAGACTGCAAGGCTAGCCCAGTGTACCCAAAGATTTTTTCTTTAATTTCTCTTACACACTTTACCAAATATGATATAATCCTCTGAGAAATTCTGCAATATATTAGGAAAGAAACAGCAAAGTGAAACCAAATAAACTGTCAGAGTAAAACAAAGTACAGCAAAGCCCCAGGAAGTGTTGGATCTAGCACTGAAACCACCCTGCTCTAAAGTATCTGTGTCACTGCCCCATAGAAAGAGTGCTAATGATCACATGTGTCCATTTAATTTCCTCACCGTGAGGAAAAGAAGCTAGAGATCCCAGCACTTAGGAGGCTGACACAAGAATAATACTGAGTTTTGGGCCCACCTCAGCTGTATACCAATTCTCTATATCAAATAAATAAGCATGCAATCTGTCCTAAAATACTGAAAGCAATAAAAAATATACTTAAGACTGTTCCCATTACAAAATGATTTCTGTGATTTCTTTTTTGTCTTACTGTCTTATCTATAATGTAAAATTGAGTCTGAATGTTTTGTCAATACAAGTACTATACTATACTAATAATTTGTCTGTACAAATTTTATATACTTCTAGAATCCTATATGTTTTTAAAGTTGATTAATACCACTATAACAAATTATTATGAACTTTTTTCTTCTGAGTCTAGAGCCCTTTTTGATTACGACAAGACTAAAGATAGTGGCCTTCCCAGTCAAGGATTGAACTTCAAATTTGGAGATATTCTCCATGTTATCAATGCTTCTGACGATGAGTGGTGGCAAGCCAGGCAGGTTACGCCAGATGGTGAGAGTGACGAAGTTGGAGTAATTCCTAGCAAACGCAGGTAAATGGTTTCTCTTAACTACTTCAAAGTGGGACATTAATAAGTCATTGTTTATTCTGGCATTTCTTTCACTGTGCTGGGTGGATAGGCCTGAAGCACATTGTACTTAGTGAAGTTAGCCCAATCAGTCTGGAAAATACACTAGAGGTCCAAGAGTGGGTGGAAGAGTAACCGAAGATGTTAGTCAAGAAATAGCATAGTTTCAGTTGTAAAAGAATAACATCCAGAATGCTACTGTGTGCTGTGATGGACCTTATAGGTAACAAGACTGCATTGGGTACTTGAAATTTGCTAAGAAAGTAGAGCCTAAGTATTTTCACCACCCAAAGAATGTTTTAAAAGTAATTATGAACCGGGCTGTGGTGGTGCACACCTTTAATCCTGTCACTCAGGAGGCAGATGCAGGCAGATTTCTGTGAGTTTGAGGCCAACCTTATCTACAGGAAGAGTTCCAGGACAATCAGGGCTACACAGAGAAACCCTTCTGAAAATATAAAAAATAAATAAATATGTGAGAGGATAGGTATGTATGGTTTATAGCTATTGTTTTACCTATAAATATGAAAACTATAACAAATCAAGCCATGGGCTTTATGTGGGAGGGGCTTACATGTGCCATAGCACAGGTGTTGCAGTCAAGGACAGCCTTGGTGTCAGTCCTTGTCTCCACTTTGTCTGCAACGGGATCTCTTGTTCACCACTGCCTTCACCAGGCTAGCTGATGCTGTGAGCTTCCAGGAATCCTCCAGTCTCCACATTTCATCACTGTAGGAGGAGTACTGTAGGGTTTGCATTACCACTTCCTGTTCTGTGTTGATTCTGAGAATCTGAGCTGTGACTTAAACAGTTTACACACTGAGCCATCTCCCTAGCCTTGTTTTTTGAGACAAGGTCTTGCTGTGTATCACAGGCTGACCTTGAATTCTCAGTCCTCCTATCTGAGCCTCCCAAGTACCAGAATTGCAGGTATGCATTACTATACTATACACAATTGAAAGTTTTTGAACCTCAAGATTATTGAAACCAGTAAATTGAGAAAGTTGAATAAATATTTTTCC